ACCAGTTAAGGCATTGCCACATTTTTTACATTTGTAGGATTTCTCTCCAGTATAAATACTCTTACATGTAGTTAAGAGTTGAGAATCAGTTAAAAGCTTTGCCACAGACTTCACATTTGTAGGGTTTCTTTCTAGTATGAATTTTCTTATCTGCAGTAAGGGTTAAGGAAGGTTAAAAGCTTTGCAACATTCTTCACAATTGTAGACTTTCTCTCCAGTATGAATTTCTGTACGGTAAGGTATGAGGATTGGTTAAAAGCTTTGCCACATTCTTCCCAATTATAGAGTGCCTCTCCAGTATAAATTTTCTTAAGTGTAGAAAGGTGTGAGGACTGATTAAAGGCATTGTCACATTCTTCTCATTTATATGGCTTCTCTCCAGTATGAATTACCTTATGTTTAGTAAAAGTGAGGACCAGTTAAAGGCTTTGCCACATTTTACACATTTGCAGGATTCTCTCTAGTACGAATTTTCTCACGTTCAGTAAGGTTTGAAGATTAGTTAAAAGCTTTTCCACATTCTTTACATTTGTAGGATTTCTCACCAGTATAAAATATCTTCTGTGTGTAGAAAAGGTTGAAGACTTGTTAAAGGCTTTAACACATTCTTCACATTTGTGGAGATTCTCTCCAGTATGAATTTTCTTATGTGTAGTAAGTTTTTAGGATCAATTAAGTTTTGCCACATTCTTCACATTTGTAGGGCTTCTCTCCAGTATGAATTTTCTTATGTGTAGTAAGATTTGAGGATAGGTTGAAAGCTTTGCCATAATCTCCACATTTGTAGGGTTTCTCTCCAGTATGAATTATCTTATGTATATTAAGAGATGAGAACTGGTTAAAGGATTTGCCACATTCTTCACATTTGTAGGGTTTCTCTGAAGTATGAATTTTCTTATGTGTAGTAAGGTTTGAGGATTGGTTAAAAGCTTTGCCACATTCTTCACATTTATAGGGTTTCTCTCCAGTATGAATTTTCTTATGTGCAGTAAGGGTTGAGGATAAGTTAAAAGCTTTGCCACATTCTTTACATTTGTAAGGTTTCTCTCCAGTATGAATTATCTTATGTCTATTAAGGGTTGAGGAGCAGTTAAAGGCTTTGCCACATTCTGCACATTGGTAAGGTTTCTCTCCCGTATGAATTCTCTTATGTATAGTTAGGTTTGAGAATCGGTTATAAGCTTTTCCACATTCTTCACATTTGTGGGGTTTCTCTCCAGTATAAATTATCTTATGGTTAGTAATGTTTGAGAATAGGTTAAAAGCTTTTCCATGTTCTTCAAATTTGTAGAGGTTCTCTCCAGTATGAATTATCTTTTGTGTAGTAAGGTGTGAGGACTGGTTAAAAACTTTGCCATGTTCTTCACATCTGTAGGGTTTCTCTCCAGTATGAATAATCTTATGGATAGTAAGGTGTGAGGACTGTTTAAAGGGCTTGCCAAATTCTTCACATTTGTTGAGTTTCTCTTTAGTATGAATTACCTTATGTCTAGTAAGTTGATAGGACTGATTAAAGGCTTTTCCACATTCTTCACATTTATAGGGTTTTTCTCCAGTATGAATTCTCTTATGTTTAGTAAGGGTTGAGAATCGGTTAAAAGCTTTG